TTACTTTACTGATTACTTATTTTCAAAAGTAATTAATTACTTAGTTACTTTTTAAAAACACGATTTACAACCTGAATAGGTGATAAACCGATAGATCTTTCAGCCCAATTCTACTTTTTCTACATAATCCATCATACAAAATGTAATTAAATGGAAAAGTCTCTTTTTAAACTTGTGTTATTAGTTTTAATCTTTTAACTTTAAACTTATTTTCTGCACATTCCAGCACATAAAATAAAATAAGATTTTTGTGTTTGCACTCACTCTTTCAGTAATCGAATTACCGTTTTTGCAATAGTAATCCCTTACTTTACTCGTTACTTGAAAAAAGTAATCGGATTACAGTAATGCGTTACTGCCCATCTCTGGTCTTGATAACAGCTGCAGTTGCTGCCTTTCATGCGATGTAAGAATCTATCTGTGTGTGTGCTGTAACAGGTGGAGGATGAGCGGGATGCAAAACTATAACCCAGAACACATCATGTTGAGCGCTGTAGCGCGACGGTCCAGTCGTGACGTCAACATCATGAAGGAGAAGCTCATATTCTCAGGTGAAGCTTAGAGAGCAGTCGCGCATCATCACAACTTATCGAGTCAGCTCCTGTGGGAGGCACACACTGTTTTTATTATAGCCTGTAGAGATTTGTTTATAATGCGAAAACACACCTTCAATAGCAAGGCAAGAGCAGCAGCAACAGAATGAGCTGTAACTCTGTTTGTCTGGGGTTAAGTGGGCTATGTTTTTGTAAGCTGTTCGTTTAATTTTCATAGAAGCCTAAGAATGAACTTCAGAGTTTTTGTATCGTAGCTTTTGAACCTGGTGGATTAAAAAAAAACAGTTTTTGTTTGTGGATACTGTTGTTGGTGTTAATTTGGCCCATATTTACCAAAAGTCTTTGGATATGTGATGACCTAAACTTAATTCTAGACCAGGGGTGGGGAATTCCAGGCCTCAAGAGCCGGTGTCCTGCAGGTTTTAGATGTGTCTTTGATCCAACACAGCTGATTTAAATGGCTAAATGACCTCTTCGACATGTCTTGAAGTTCTCCAGAGGCCTGTTAATGAACTAATCATTTAATTCAGGTGTGTTGACCCAGGGTGAGATCTAAAACCTGCAGGACAGCGGCCTTTGAGGCCTGGAGTTTGCCACCCCTAGTACACCTATTAAGTACAAACCCAGCTAATGCACTTTGCCCATATGTGTTCACGCTGTGGTCTAAGAACGATGACTGAAGGTGACTCTGCAGTGTGTATGAATCCTGTTTGTCGTTGTTATTTCCAGAGCTTAACAATGGGCTCAGCAGTACAGAAGAACTTTCTCTGTATCCCGAGAATGGCTACGTCAGATATTCTCATGGAGGCCTCAGTCGCTGACCAGAACAGCCACAGCTGCAAACTTGAGTTTGACGTCAGAGATCTGACACGTCTTCTTTCATCAGGGTGCTGATCTGCTGAGCACATATCACGTTTAAGTCCTGACAATTAAAAGTTTTCCATTTATGGCCTGTTGCTTACTTTTCTTAATCTTCCATCAATCTACCCATCCACTGGGTAGTGATTTCTCCATGATGACAAACTTGGGAGTGTTTTAATATCATGTATTTGGCTGTTTTCTCAGTTGTTCCATGTACTATTACCAGTTTCAGCCAAATTCTTCTGATAATGTTAGCCATTAACATTTCTGTTCTAAGAAGATATTTTGTTGGCTTAAATTACCGTATTTTCCGGACCATAAAGCGCACCGGATTATAAGGCGCATTAAGCGAAACAAAACAGTCAGATAAGTCAAACTTTACTCATTCTTCTTGCTTCCTCCACTTCTGTACCATTGATTCATTAATGTTGAATTCTCTGGCAGCTGCTCTATTCCCATGTTGTTGCAATATATTAATGACTAACCTCATATTGTGGATGGATTATCTCAGTTGTTCTCCTGACTGAAGTTTGGTCTGTTTACAGCATCCTGCGATGCGATTGCATTTGTCCCTAACCATCGGGAACCTTCACGTTAACCTTGATCGAGTGGAAAAAAGTTAGTTTGTTTATGTTATGCTAACATAGCTGTGTTGCTAGCGATCACGTAGCACATCATTATATACCAGCTAGCCCAACTTCAGTAACCCTACAAACATCACTGCTGTTTAGTTTTCTGTCTTCATTTATGTTGGAAGTGATAACAGAGCTGTACTTTTGAATTTGTTTCAGAAATCTCTCAGTCAGAACATGCTATATCATGTTTAGGTGGAAACTAGCGAGCTAACTGCCTGCTAACTCTGTTAAATTTACTAAATTCTGTTTTCATGGATGCCTGGATGTTAAACTTAAGTGTTACACCTGGTAAAGCAGCAACGCTAATTATTTTATTAAAGATGAAAGAATTTAGACAGTTTTTAACTCTCAGTGATGCTGCAGTGATCGTGTGACTTAGAGACCTGAAATGGACGGAGTTTAGGACCCAGATTACTCTGCGAGGCTCCTGACTACGGTAGCTGTAATGTTCCAACAATCCATCAAACGGTGTGGCTTCCTAGCTTACCAAAGTCATGCTAAAACATTTTTTGACAGATTTTTGAGCGCCGTGTAGCACATAAAATCGGTTCGAGAGTTAGTAAGCACAACCAGAATTCATACATAAGGCGCACCAGATCACTGTGGATTTCTGTGAAAATTAAAGGATTTTAAGTGCGCCTTATAGTGCAGAAAATACGGTATTTAAAATCTGTTTACAAAAGTTAAAATAGAACACGAGTTTATCATTGGCTGATATGTGCCTGTGGGATTAATTGATGGGCAAAAGCTCTCAAAACATTATGGTACCAGAGTTAGAAAGGAATTCTTATTTTATTTGTTTAATTTTAGCCAGTTATGTCAACATTTTTTTTTTTAAAAAAAGAAAAGATTTGAAAAAAAATCCCTGATTAGTCTCACTCATACTTATAAAGCTGTACAGCTGGATTGTTCCACGACACTTACCTTACTCTGGTTTTATAAGAGGACACAGACTGGAGAGTGGTCTCTACATGTTTCTATTGTAATTCCCCCTCTGAGAGGACTCTGACTTATTTGAAATTGTATATTTTATCCTTGCACTGAAGAAGTGTGACAGACAGAATAAGGCACATGTGGAAACCTGTTTCCTTGCTAATCTAATCTGCCTCTGCCTCTTCTGTTATGCCATGATTGTTTTTTTTCTAGACGTATCAAGTATTATAACTTTCACATGGCTGCCTTTTTGTTAGAATATTTTCATCTTAGTTTTATAATAAGGCAAAATGTTGAAGTGACAACTACTACAGATTTAGCTACAGGTGAGTTGACTGTTCAATAAAAGTGAGAAATTCTTGAAAAATGATCTGTTTTGTGGATTCTTCTTGAGTGAGACAAACTTCCAATCGTGTGTTTTGGGTGCTTGACTGCGACTTTTATTTTTATATGATAGTCATTACGTTAATATCGTGATAATTCTGGATTTTGTTTCTGCTGCCTACTGGTTAGAGTTACCAGTATAGGAGGAAGGCATGTTTTACATGCGTATATACACTTACCAGGCTAAATTCCACATAGTTGTTTACCTTGATGCACAGACCAATAGCCGCTCAGTTTGTTCGTTTTTGCCATTTGCACATTTCATGGAGTGTTTCTCTATCATTTCCATAAAAATGGTAACTAAGGTGAAAAATGGTTTATAAAATGTCTTACTTTGGAAATCAAGCCAACACATAGAGGAGGTATTAGGTCAGAGTGTGCCTTTTATTGTATGTTTCCATGTTTCACAGCTGTGGGAAAAACAAGTCAACAGCAACAGAAGAAATAAAACAAGCATGTCAAGGAATAGTTTTCTCTTATTAAGCCGTCACGTTGGCTGGTAAAGCATGGTCAGAGAGAAAATGAAGGTCTGCTTCCTCTGTGATGCTGTCAGGGCTGTCAGATGGCATGGGGCAGCCAGAGTCTCTGGGGCAGTTACTCACATCTGCCTTCATGTTCTCAGCGGAGCTCTCGGCCTTTTGATCAGCTTCATTCTCCAACTGACAATCAGCTGCAAAGTAGAGAAGACTGCTTGGTTGCACGTACTGCTGCAGAGCTGAATTGACGAGCAGTCGGTAATCATTCAGTCACTTTTATTTCTGTGAATTAGGATCGAACAGGTTATCTGCCTCCTTTATTCTTAGAGCTACAACTCAAAGACCTGTTGTCTTTAATCTCTTTAACTTTGGTACCTTTCCATTCTCGTCTAGGAAAGGATTAATGTGTCCTGTTCTTTTTCCTTTCTGGATCCAAACATCCCAGCATATTTCTTTGTGGTTCTATTATAGCACATCTGTCCTTCAATGACCTTGTCTGGGGTTCATTACTCACAGCGCAGTTGCTGCAGGGAGTTGACAGCAGCGAGCAGACGCTGCCTGTGCTCTGGATCAGTCACATTCAGCTCCATCAGATGATTCTCCCTCAGCCCCATCAAGTCGTCTACAGTTTGGTAACCGCCCAGCTGCAAACATGTGGAATATTCCTGAAAAAGAAATAATGGTACCGTTCAGAAGAAAGCTGAAGGAACAGCTTCCTGTTGGAAGGGTGGTTGGGTTACTACATCAATCAATCTTTATTTAAAAAGCACTTTTCAT